CTGTAGTCCGTTTATAGCCTAATGTTAGCTTTTCAGTTCTTGCGTTTGCATTTAAGATCCAAAAGTGCTCAAAGTTGTATTTTCATGTGAGGATTATCCGGCTGGACAAAACGTGTAAGTGTAATGAACAGTGTTTGAACACAGAGCTTATTATTTGCAATCTTCGAAAAGCCTATGGGAAAATCCTATAGGGATTTTCACGAGGGAACCAGTTTTATGCTAGCAGCCGATTAGCCTACAAAGTGACGTCATAGTTCCTCCACTCTATGGAACCTTGAGGTACTCCACATGAGACCGGTGCTGACGAGGACATAAACTCCCCTAGGCAAACAGAGAAGCTTCTGTCAGGATAAATATGACCGAAACCATTCCAAGGCAATACCCTTCATACCAACACAGTGCTCTAAACAAGAAATTAATATCTTATGGTCTACTGTATCAAAAGCAGCTGTAAGATCTAAAAGCAAAAGAACAAGTCATTAAAAAGTGCGGTTTCAGTGCTATGGCAAGATTTAAAACCAGACTGGAACACTTCTTGAAACCCATGTAGGTCTAAATATGGTTGCAGTTGTATAAATACAACCTTCTCTAAAACTTAGAGACTTAGCTGAAAAAAGTGAATGAATGGATGTTTGTACTGAGGCAACAAACACATGCAATAACACGTTTAAATCATGTTTATGCATCGTGTCATATCACATAGCTCTTTTTATGGTTATAAATGAGCAGGGGCGTAGTAAATGGTGGAAAAGGGTGAAAAAGGGTGACAATTTTAAGGCCCAGTGAAAGGTTGCCAGAGAACCCAGAGAACCCCCCCCCTTCACTTACGACTCTGCTAACTAAGCACCCCGCCATGATGATGGAACTTGCAGGCACGCCTCCTCACGCCTCATTTCTGTCGTCTGTTAAGGTAAGCAGGCTGTGCACGTGCGCGATACACTTATTTAAATATGTCTGATGAAAATACTATATAGGCAGATAAGCACCCCGCCTCTTCACTTCTGAGATCGCTAACGTCATGACCACCCCCGCCAGATCCACCAGTTGTCACTGACCTTGACATTATTCTTAGTGTCCAGCCCATCGTAAATGCAGAAAGGCTTTTTAAGAAATGGTCGGCCGCTGATCCTGAGTCTTAAAGGTATAGGATAAAAAGAAATACTTTACACATTATTCCTGACAGTTGTTTGACTTGTTATTAAAGTGATAATTTTTTATATACCTTTTTCTGCATATATTTTTAATGGTGCAGCAAGAAGGTTACTGGTTCAAGCCTTGGCTATGTTAGTTGGCACTTCTGTGTGAAGTTTGCATGTTCTCCCCCTGCTGGCGTGGGTTTTCTCCGGGTCATCCGGTTTCCCCAAAAGTCCAAAGACATGCGCTAAAGGGGAATTGGGTAGGCTAAATTGTCTGTAGTGTATATGGGTGAATGGGAGTGTATGGGTGTTTCCCAGTGGTGGGTTGTGGCTGGAAAGACATCCGCTGCATAAAAACAAATGCTGGATAAGTTGGCGGTTCATTCAGATATGATAACATAAACCGAGGCTTAGATCATTGGTGATCGGCTTTAGCCATCCTGTGTGCACCCACTTGGAGAAGGACCCCTGGACAAAGGTGTGGGCAGAGGGGACTGCGATTTCAGATTCCAGACGGAGAAAAAACAGGTTGCTGGTAACCTGAACTACACTCAAACGGAGATAGCCCTGTAGCCGACACCGGTTATGAGTTATGTGCGGACTCAACCCTTAATTGCTGATGGCTCCAAGAAGAAGGATTCTGGGAACCCAAACATTGAAACATATGTTCGAGATCTTGCTTGGCTCTCTCTGTCTGTTACTCTGAGGGTGAAAGCCAGAAGAAAGACTAACAGTGGCCCCCAATAAATGACAGAATTCTCTCCCAAATTTAAAGATAAACTGAGGTCGTCTGTCAGAAACCATGTCCATTGGGAGGCCATGAATGCGAAAGACGTGATCAATAACCGCAACCAACGAGAAAAAAAACTGCAGAGATGCATCTTGCCATCGGAGGAGGAACGCTGGGACAGGATAGCTCCCACCCCCACCTTTGACATGTCAACCTCCACCACAAACTGCCGAGAAGGATCAGGGGCTACGAGAATAGGAGCAAAAGTAAAACAAGCCTTTAATTTAGACAACGCAGCTTGAGCTGAGCTCGACTACCTGAACGGTGTTTTGGTGGAGGTTAAAGCAGTCTGTGGTGCAGCGAGCTGGCTGGAATTGAGAAAAAAACGCTGGTAAAAATCGGCAAAAGCCCAGAAACCTCTGCAGGGCCTTGCAGGAGTCTGGGGTTGGCTGATTCACCACAGCCTGAATCTTCTCTGGATCCATGCGCACCTCCTTGACTGACACAATGTGTCTTAGAAAAGGAACTGACTGCACGAAAAATGCATTTCTCCGCCTTGATGTAAACTCATTCTCGAACAGCTCTGAAGCACTTGGCTGATGTGAAGAGGGATGGATGATCTTGGCCGCTAGTGAATCAGAATTATATTTTTCCATGGCCTCCCTTTCTGGAACAGAAAGCGAGTATAATTTGCCTTTAGGCAGAGACAAACCTGGCAATGAGTCTATAGCACAGTCATAGGGACGATGAGGAGGTAGAGAAGCAGCTCGGGACTTACTGAACACTCTCTTCAGGTCAAGGTACTCACTGGGCACGTTTGACAGGTGCCTTGTTTAATGCTTCTACTGAAACACAGAACAAGACACAGCAGAATGGGCAGACAAAAGACACATGACAGTTGTCACTCCACGAAAATGGCTGAACACCGTCGCTTCCCATCCAACCTGATAGAGCTTGAAAGGTACTTCAAAGAGGAATGGGTAAAAATTCCCAAAGACAGTTGTGCCAAGCTTGTGGCATCATATTCAAAAAAGACCAAGCTTAAACCTTGTCATCATCGTCTTGATGAACAGTCACAAAGCTAAGAAGGGCAGAATTTACCCTGTGCCCTGTTGTTGTTTACAAGGCCTTCTAAAGCACGAGCAGTTTCACTTTCTCGAGAGAAGGGGCGAGTGCATCTATATTTAAAATGACAAACTTCTTAAGCTGATGATAATAACATGCGCATGAAGTGCTTCTGACATCCTTTCACAAACTGACAAACGCGAGAGTGAAGGTAAAAAAAAAACAAAGGAGCAAATGATTCTTTCTGCAACCTAAAACATGGACAAACTGCCATGTTTAATTATTATTGTGATGAAGTTCGTTCATAAGGTGGGAAGAAGAAGAAGACAGGGTAATGCAATTTCTTTATTTTTATCAGCATTTGTGAAAGCACCACGCGTGTGTATTCTCTCTCTCTTTTCCCGGCTGCTCCCTCTCCTTCCCTTAAAAAGGGTTTCTCTCCGGCCCAATCACTAGAACAAACAGGTGTTATTCATTATTCCTGATTCATCTGCTGACTAGCCACCGGGCTCCGAGCATGCTTTCCTCCCTTATTGGCCGTTTGATCATGCCTGCCCCTCCTCACTGACCACCTCAGGCCGGGGACAACCTTGAATTTAAAAGGCTGTAGTGCCAGATACCAACAGGTGATCCATGCATTGGTATCTTTCATTTGATGGAGTCACTGGAGGGGAGCATGAGCTGAACATAGGACGAATTCTCTGCCCATGAGGTAATAGCGAAGAGTGAGAACAGTACACCTTAATCGCCAGACACTCCTTTTCTATGGTGTTGTACTTAGCCTTACTCTTACTGAGTTTTTGGCTAATGTACAGCACCGTCCGTTTCACTCCTGCCACCTCCTGAGAGAGAACTGTCCCCAGACCCATATCGGACGCATCCGTCTGTAAAAGAAAGGGGAGAGCAAAGTCAGGAGCGAGCAATAGCAGACCCCGCAAAGTATCGATTTTAGCTTTTTCGAGGCCTGTTGGCACTGCTCCGACCATTGGGTGGTATCCGGTCCTTCCTTTTTAGAGTAAGCAATGGGCTGACGAGGGCTGAATAATTAGGAACAAATCGCCTGTGATATCCTGCCAGTCCCAAAAACTCACCTCCTTTTTGCTCTTAGGTCTCGGACAGGTTGCAATGGCTGCAGTCTTATCAATTTGGGGCTGCACCGGCCTGTGACTCAAGTGGAAGCCCAGATACCTTACCTTCACTCGCCCAATTGCGCACTTCACGTTGTCCGTGAGACTGGCCCGTCTTAGCACTGATAATACTGTCCTAAGATGTTGCAGATACTGTGTGAGGAGCGAGTATTTTGTCTATCAGATGCTGAGATGTATCCAGTGCCCCGAACAGCCCGAATGAAAGTGTCATAAAACAGTGTAATCCAAACAGCGTCTGAACACAAGACTGTTTTTCGCAGGTTATTGGAGTTAAGGGGATCTGCCATTATCCATTTGTCAAATGCAATGTTGAGTGATATCAAGCAGCACCTAACCGGATCAGCTCTGAATAACCTGCAGGCGGTCTGGCCTGTGAATCCTGGCTACATCCCTTTTCAAGACTCTGATATGACCCTGCGTCCGTGTACCTATTTGGAATTGTCTATCTTTGCTTTAACCAATCGAGATCTTTATACCTCAGTTGACGACATTTTTGGCTTTCTGTAGGAGTATAACTGCTGTGTTGTTGTAAGGCAGTGAGATCGGCCAGCGAACTCTGCGATTGTGAAGACCTCCTGCCATAGAACTGTAGACTATCTTCAGTAAATTCTCTTTGTTTTTATTGAATTTCAAAGTCTGAATCTTTTGATCTAACACAGCAGTTAAGTTTTATTAACAACATGAGTATAAGACTTACTACTCCTTATAAGATTTAAGACTTTTAAAGAGTTTAGGACCCGCAGAAACTTTTGCATGACAATAAAAATGTAAACTTTTTAGTGGAAATATTTACAAAGACAGAAGTAGAGGACCTAATGCTGAGCCCTGTAGCACTTAATGGTTTAGATATTCTGTTGGTTTTCATGTCTGCTGTTTTGTGCCTTTAAACTGGTGTTAACTGGTGTTTTTTTTTCACTTTAGGGCTGATGGTGCTGAAAGAAGAGACTCAAGAACTGAATGAAATTGAAGAGAAAGATCAGTGTGGGAAACACCCAGATTTAATGACTGATAAACCATCTTTACTGGCAAAGAACACTTCATGTAAAAGAGCTGAGAAAACCAAATCTTTCCCCTGTCATCAGTGTGGAAAACGTTTCAATAAAAAACAAAACCTTAAAATCCACATGAGAATTCACACTGGAGAGAAGCTTTCCACATGTGATCAGTGTGGAAAGAGTTTCACTGCAAAATCAGGTTTCGAAATCCACATGAGAACTCACACCGGCGAGAAGCCTTTCTCATGTACTGAGTGTGGAAAGAGTTTCAGTCACAAACAAAACCTTGAAATTCACAAGACGATTCACACCGGGGAAAAACCGTTTGCCTGTCAGCATTGCGGAAAAAGATTCAGTCAAATGGGTAATCTTAAAGTTCACTTTCGTGTTCACTTTGGAGAGAGGCCGTACACCTGCCAACAGTGTGGAAAGAGTTTCAGTCACAAACACAACCTTGAAATTCACAAGAAGATTCACACCGGGGAAAAGCCATTTGCCTGTCAGCATTGCGGAAAAAGATTCGGTCAAATGAGTAATCTTAAAGTTCACATTCGTGTTCACTCTGGAGAGAGGCCGTACACCTGCCAACAGTGTGGAAAGAGTTTTGCATGCAAGTCTACTCTTAGTGTTCACATTATGCATCACACTGGAGAGAAACCGTTTACGTGTGATCAGTGTGAAAAGAGATATGTATGTAAACGAGAGCTTAACCGGCACAAGAAGATTCATGCAAAAGACAAATGTTTCAAATCTGATCTCTGTGTAGGTCTGGCCACAATACCAATCGTCAAGAATTGCCCAAGTGAGCATGTCAGTTTTTGTCTTGCCAATTAATCTAGCAACAAACACCCAATGCTCCTGCGCCTCTTTATAATTTACTCCACTGAAATGCCAGTAAAGACATGGGCTGCGTTTAAAAGCGCCCAATACCCCTAAATAGTGCACTATTTGGGGGAGCAGCCATTTCTAGTGCTGTCCGAAACCATAGTGCATGTTCTGAAGTGCTCTCAATTAATGCCACAATGCATTGCAATATAAGTTTACAACCAATGTACAGTCAACAGCTAGAAATTCCACATAATGCACTGTGAGGGTTTGTGCATCAAATTAATTTGCATCTGGCCACAAGATGGCATCCCAAGTGTCTAAATACTTTACTATTTACTTAAAGCCATGTAGTTAGCGAGTTTAGTGCTCTAATTGTCTCGCTCACTTCAGTCACTACTTTAAGTGGACGTGTGTACGGAATGGTGAACGAGGATATAGTGGGGCTTAATTTGCTCCGGAACACGCCAGATCCGGCACCTGATTCCCCCCGGAAACTTCACAGATATCCAGGAACAGGATTGGGCACCCCTGGTTTAGTTAGTTAATAGATTAGATTTTTTTTTGTCTCATTTCATTTTGTTTTTACTTTTAGTATAGTTTTTGTAGAATTATTGCTTTGTTTTTCTTGGTATTTCATATTCCTTATAAGTTTATGATCGTGTGGAATCAAAGTAAACTGTTTTAATGAGTAACAGAAAAGAGAATTTCTCCATTTTAATGGCAGTAATCTTTCATATGCTTGTTTTTGATATTGTGATATAGGTCTTAAATTTAATACTTTAATAAAAAGTTTTAAATTTGACACTATGATATCTGCAGAAACCCTGTAATAACTCTTGTTAGATTTGTCCTGGTCAGACGATGTCTGAGCATTAAAACATACAGAACTGTGATTACTCAATAAACTCAGCTTTCTTTGTCATCATTACTTCGTCTCCTGCTTCTGCTCCTCTTTGTCTTCCTCATTCTCAAGTCCTATATTAATTCAGTTCTGAGTAATGATTAACAGTATGAGTTTCTTAACACCACATCATTCCTCCTGCTGCCAAACTTTCTTCTTGAATAAGATGCAAAGGTCTACCTTTTATCCTGTTACCCCTCTCCTCTCCTCAGTAAACTTTATTTAATTGATTGCATCTCAGGGTCTCAAAACTTTCCCCATAATAATGCATAGAGCTGTCTTTTAGTCAGAAGCCTACACACACACAATACATATAAGGGTACACACCAAATATATACCATTTAGCATCTTGTGTTTCTGTAATATAAAGTGTGTGTGTGCACTATTGGAGAATGTTGAGGTGATCCCCCCACCCCACCCCAAAAATCGCTCAGTCCCACGTTAGACTTTTATTTTGGTATTATGTAATGACGTCAGAAGTACGCGCCGCGCTTTCGTGTTTGCTGTTCAACGAAAAGGTTTGTCATAAACGCTGCAGCCTCGCTCAAATTAAACTATAGTTTATTTTACAAGTACTGCTAAATTAATAAATGTAACTGCGCGATAGTTAAACTAACTTTTAGTTAAAAGCTTAATTAATATAACGCGAGTAGCAGAAACGGCGCGTCTCATTTCTCTGACGTGAATCTGTGAGTAAACAAACAAACATGAATTCAGTAGAGATAAAAACAGCTTTCAGAACTCATTTCAGTCTAAATGGTCCGTTTTATTGCGCTGATAAAGTAAATAAATATCTTCTAATAACTCTTATTTGTTTTACCAGCAACATTGTTGACACACAAACGCTTTTCTGTCTCTAAAACTGGTTTCTTATTTTGTTGTAAAGATGTAAAATATTACCTGGACACGATTTCTGCCTCCAGCAGTGTTCAAGCTTTAACATGGAGAACACATGTGACTCTTATATTATAGTCTGTTTTCTATAATCTACCGTTGACTGTATTGTCTGTGATATTTTGTCTGTGACCATTGTTGAGGAACTTATAAACATGTTATATTGTGATTAATATTACCTCTGACATCCAGTCAAAACAGTGTAAATGCACACAAGCTAGCTTTACAAACTCTGTGTGTTCATGAGTGTGCAATATTAATAGATACACTGGTCAACACATTCATTTTTATTATTTATTTCTGTTATTTTTCTCCTCTTAAACAGAGAAAAGTGTCTAAACGCAGAGGAAAACTCTTGGAGAAGCGACTGAGATCTGCTCTTCATTATCATCTACTGTTATAAAGATGGCGTTAATTAAAGAGGAGAATGAAGATGTGTGGATTAAAGAGGAGAATGAAGAACTGAGGATTAAAGAGGAGAGTGAAGGTCTGAGCATTACAGAAGTGTTCACAGTGAAACATGAAGATCCTGAGGAACAAACAGGTCAGTTTTTATTCCTCAAAGCTGAACTCAGAGTCATTTAATCCTCAATCAAATGTGCAGCTCTAAATAAGTCTTATTTTAGAGAAATCTCATATGAGCATCTTGATGAGTTTTGTTTGACAAAGTGACTCGCATGATCAGACAAACACTAACACTGCCTTCAGGTGAACTTGAGAAGATCCTGCTTATAGTTTGCACAGTGTCACATGCTCAGTTATTAATAATTTCTAATAATTCTTCAGTCTGGAGTGGGGTTTTTTCCTCTTATACTCTGGTTCCTACTAGATTTGGGTCGATAGACTATAGATGTCACGATGCTGAGCTGGCATCGCGATCCCCACCACAGCAGTAGTAGAGCTGTAATCGGGCCATAAGAGTTATGCCCAATAAGGGCCAACAATTACATTTTGATTGACAGCTTTTTAAAAGCCCGTTTACAGCCAGAGGTTATTCAAATGTGCACATGCACACAGCTCCTTTTCTCAAGAATGAGTCGTTTTAACATAATTTATTCATAACAAACGTAGGCTATAGGCAGGCCCGGCGCTACGAGGTGGCAAAGAAAGAATTGTTTCAAGGTTGTTCAATCAAAACTGAAAACTCTTTCTGTCATTAATTACTAACACTCCCGTCTATTCTCAGCAAATACCAATCTTGACAGATGGTTCAAAGATGGAAAGTAATGTAGCAGCAGCAATGGTGACGGGAACAAAGTCATGGAATCAGTCTGCCTAAAGAATGCTCCATATTCACAGCTGAAGCCCGCGCTTTTTAAAAATTTTTATTTGCTTGTTTATTTTACAGGGACAATACACTTGACATTAGCCCCTTTCACACAGTGATACCGGTAAATTTCTGGAAAATTTCCGGAACGACTTTACCGGTATATTGAAAAAAACGCTGTTCACACAGGCGAGGACGTTACGGAAATTTTCCGGAAAAGAGCATTCACACATCCATCCCAAAATACCGGTAAATTCTGACATCATTCACCACAAATGAGCTTTAAACGGCTGCGCTTGTATTTGTAAACATTTGACTAAATTACAAACTCTGTGGATGATCAATATTGTGAACAACTTTCGCAGGATCACTTTCGCATGTCGAGATGTTCATAATATGTGCGTGTGCAGGCGCTCATAGGCGCACGCAAAGCTTGAAGGTAAACAAACAACGGCTTATCATAAGCATCTCATCGATGATTATTTACACAGTTGGCATTAAGAAGAACATATAAACGTGATCTGACTAACTTCTAGCAGCTAAATGTGTCTGGAAAAATATTCAAAGGCTTTTATCCTCACAAACCGCGCGGACGTAAATGCGTCTAACTGTTGTGATTGGCTAAAGCAGACGTCTCACGTCAGCACGTTCTAGACGTGCACGGGCTTATTCCGGGAATCTTCCTTCTGCATTCACACAGCGCAGCATTCCGGCAAATTGCCGGTAATGTTACAACTTCTCTTTCCGGAAAATAGCCAGAACGAATTTACCGGTATTTACAAAAAGAGCCTGTTCACACATACAACCTTTCCGGAAAGGTCTGTATGTGTGAAAGGGGCTATTGTTATACAAAGATAACCGATGTTGTGTACATAGGGCATATAGCATAAAGCTAATTTGCAGCCCTCGTCCCTGGTTAGGCTTTACATTATAAAAAAGAAAAATAATAATAATAATAATAATAATAAAGAAAACCGGCAAGAATAAAACACAATACAGCAAACATGTACAATATTTACAGAGCCATAAACATAAGATGCAAGTCCATATGGATAAAGAGAAATGTAAATGGGACCAACCTGAAAGAATAATGCTTAATGTTCACATTGCTGTAAAGATTTCAACCCTTCTTTCAGCTTTACAGAAAAAAAACTGGGAGTTCTGATTGTAACTTTAAATGAACAGGCATGGCATTCCATAGATGTGAACCTTTTACTGAAAAGGATGACTGACCCACAGCGGTTCTGCATCTGCGGATTCTACAATTCCCACGTACTGCCCCTCTAGTCTTCGCCCCATCACTACTGAATTTATTTATTAACTCACAAACTACTTTAGGAGCAAGACCATGTATACACTTAGGGTGCTTTCACACCTGTGAATCGATTCAGTTGTTCCGAAACAGATTATAAATGTTACATTGTTGCTCTTTGCTCTTGGAGCGGTTCGCTTTCATACTGCAAAGTTTCTAAACGGACCAAAATAGCTAAAACAAGTCACGTGCGAGTAAACTCTCCTCACATTGGTCAGAGTTTATTTTGCAGCGTCCCGCTATGCCAATCGAACCGCGCTAACTGGGCAATCGAGACACGTTCTGAAACAAAAGTGTAGGTGTGAAAGCACCCTATAACATGTTTTTTAAAAACGAAAACTTTAAAAAACTATCAAAACTTAACAAATGATATTTTTTAAGAATTTGACAATGGTGCCGTCTTATTGGTTTCTGATCCATTACTTTTAAAGTTTGTTTGTAAAGAGACATTACAGGCTTAACAACTGACTGGGTAGCTTGACCCCAGATTATTGCACAATAAGACATACGTGAAAATATAGCATGCACAAACATTTGCGCTGCTTTAAGAGATATATATGGCCTTATCATAGGAAAACAGTTTAAATTTGTCTTAATAGCCTTAGACATTTTCTTGATGTGGGCATCAAACTTAAGCTTTGAGTCTATGATGACACCTAGGTATTTAAATTCACTCACTTCCTTAATTTCCTTTTGGTCAATTTGGATTTTAAATGCATTTAGTGCTCTGTTTTTTGAGGAGAAACACATTGAAACTGTTTTGTTGTAATTTAGAGTTAGACGGTTGTCCTTCAGCCAGTGGGAAATACAGACCAGTTGATTAGTTAACATTTCTTAACTTACTTTTAGCATTGGAGTGTATGGAAAATGCCCAACAAAAGAAATCCATCATTTTTACAGACTCTAAATCATGCCTCCAAGTTATGGAATCTTCAACGAATGATCATCCTTTAATTGATAACATTTTAACTAAAGTTCACCAACTACAAAATCAGTTTTATCACATCGTTTTTTGCTGGGTTCCTGGACATGTCGGACTTTTAGGCAATGAGCGAGCTGATGCAGTTGCTAAAGATGCTTTGAAGCAAGTAGTGAACAAATGCCAAATTCCTCCGTCAGAGATGAAACCTTTTATCAACGCTTACATTTTAAACAAGTGGCAAAAGGAATGGGATGCATTAGAAAACAATAAATTACATGAAATCCAACCTGAAGTTTCACACAGAATTTTAAGACATTTTAAGAATCGATTTGATCAAGTAGTTTTTACCAGATGTCGTATTGGGCATACGAGAATTACACATGGTTTTCTGCTCCAAGGTGAAAACCCTACTCAGTGTTTGTGCTGCAAAACTCCTCTTACTGTAAAACACATTTTACTGGGCTGTCCTGCTTTTACTGATCCCAGAAGGACTTTTTATGAAATGAACTCTTTTAAGGACATTTTTGACAAAGTGAAACCAGAAAAGATTTTAGAATTTTTATCATGTATTAACACAAAAAATCTAATTTATGTTTTATTTTATTTGTTGATTTTTAAATTGTATATTTATTGTTGAAACATTCCTGCCATGAAGATAACCTTGGTTGCTGACATGGCACTAAATAAAAAAAAATAAAAATACAATACTAACACTCCCGTCGTTCCAACCTTCAGTATTTTAAAATATATGACATAGCAATTAAATTATGAAAATTCTGAGATTAACGCTATAGTCCAGAGATCTGGTCCCCGGGTCGGGTCAGTAAATAGCCTTTAAAACGCGCACACGGCGATGGAAGCGAACTCAACCCACAAGGGAGAAAAGTGGGTGACATGAGACGAGCAGCTTAATTCGTAACATGTTTTGGTTAACTAATTCTTTAAACACAACTCTCTTGAGCGCTAAAAGGAAGAAACGCAGAAGAAATTTGCTGTAAAATTAATTTTAGCAGAGACGCAACTGCCAGTCGTTAGATGTAGTCTAATAAAAATGTTTTAATACAAATAAATAGTTCACTGCACAGTAGGCTACACTATAAATAATATTTAAATTTATTCATGATTATTAGGGGCCAAGCACCGTAGGTGCGTAGGCACCTATTGGATCCGTTAGCGTTCCTATTATTATTATTATTATTATTATTCTTCCGTTTCTTCCGCCAGATTTGAATGGCAGCCCATATAGGCGTATGCGGGAAAGTTGTATAATTTGGCACAATGATAGAGGACAGTATTAACATTAATCAGACCAAATATGAAGTCTCAAAATCAAACTCTCTAGCGCCACCACTTGTCCAAACTTTCACGTATGTTTATAATAATAACTTTTGAACCGATTGGGCTACAATCAAAATTCTTTTTTCCTCTGATTCCTTGGCTCAGTCCGATTCAAACGCACCCTATGACGTCATTTTTTAAATTTTTTCGCGCTATTTTAATTTTTTCGAAAAACCTATTTGATCGAACTCGTCCTAGGCCGTTTCTTCGATTTTTACCAAAATTAAATCACATGATCTACAGACCATGCCAACCAAAAGTTATGGAATTCAAGTTGATTTGACCAACCGTTTTTGTTTAACTTGCGATCAAATTTAACGTAGGACTTGCGAAAATGGACTTGAGACGATATCTCCGTAACGCATTCACCGATTCACACCAAACTTGGTGTTTGCTATGATGACTAGGGTTTGAGGTTATATGCGGAGTTTCGGCGCACTGCCCCCTAGTGGTCCGGAGATACAAAAAAACTTTATTTTGGCTTATAACGTCTCAACCTTTCGTCCGAAACTCATAAAACTGGTCTCATTACATCCGGCAGAGCATGTCGAGTCGAATGATGTCTGACTTTTCACAGGTCAGCCATTTGGGCGTCGCCCATTTCGATTTTTGGTAAAAACTGCTATATTTTACCAACACATTCACATATTACAAAACATGGTATGCATCTTCAAGCCCATGCCCTGAAAGTACTCAAAAACTTCT